TTTTTTTTTTTTTTTTTTCTTTTTTTTTTTTTTTCCTTCTCTTCTCTCTGACTCCTGACCCCCAAATTCCCACGGGAACTCTGCTCCAGCCCTCACCTCATCCTGCTCCTCGTGCTCCAGGATGGCCTGAAGGAACGCCCGGCGCTCGTGGCTGGAGGATTTCTGGTCGAACATTCCGGCCTGGATCACCTTCTGGTCCACGTTGAGCTTGTACTTGGCGGCCGCCAGGATCTTCTCCTCCACGCTGTTGACGGTGCAGAGCCGGAGCACGCGGACCTCGTTCTGCTGCCCGATGCGGTGGGCCCGGTCCTGGGCCTGCAGGTCCTGGGGGAAGGGGCAGCGATAGCACCGGGCTCCCAAAAATCCCATTCTTGTCCTCAAAATCCATGGGGGGAGATGTGGGATGAGGCCTGAGGGCATCCAGAGATTCCCAAGATGACTGGGATGTGGCAATGGGATCACCAGGACTATGTAAGCCCTGTGGGATGGGACCGTGTTGGCCAAAGGGTTCCAAAACCCCTGATTTTGTCCTCAAAATCTGCAGGGATTCTCAAGGATGATGGAGATGTGGCAGTGGGAACACCAGGACTATGTAAGTCCTGTGGGACAGGGCAAGTGTTGCAAGAGAGGTGCCAAAACTCCCACTTTTGTCCTCAAAACCCACAGGGAAGATGTGGGATGAGCCGTGAGGGAACTCAGGGATCCCCAAGGATCACAGGGATTCAATAATGGGATCATGGAGGTCCCATGGGAAGGGGCAGCGCTGGCCAAGAGCTGCCAAAACTCCACTTTTAGCCTTAATAGGGAAAACACGGGATGCACCCCAAGGGCTCTCAAAGACCACCAAGGATTACGGGAATTTGAGTAACAGGAGTGTTGGGACCATGTAGGTCCTGGAGGAAGTGGCCACACGGGCCAAGAGGTGCCAAAAAAGCTGGTTTTAACCTCAAATAAAGCATGGGAGAGATGTGGGATGCACCATGAGGAGTTCAGGGATCCCCAAGGATTAGGGAATTTGGGTAACAGAACCACCAGGACCCCAGGAACAGCATTCCTGCAGGAAGGAGCAGCATTAGATGAGGGGTCCCAAAAACCCCGTTTTTATCCTCAAAGACATGGGATATGCCCCTGCAATCCCAGAGGATTACGGGAATTCCAGAATGGGATCACTGATTGCTCTTTATTTCTGAGACAGAGGGTGCAGGAAAACCCAGCTGCAGCACGGGGATTTGGGGGTGGCTCTCCAGGACAGCGCCAGCGCCTCTTGGAGAATGACAGAATTCCACCCCCACGGCTCCTCTTTGGGTCAGTTGGTTTTGGGGCTGGTTCATTGGATTTTGGGTCAGCCAGTTGGTTTTGGGTTGGATCACTGATGTTTTTTTTTGTTTGGCTGAATTTTAGGTTGGCTGGCTGTGGTTTGGGTCAGTCAGCTGACTTGGGGTCGCTGGCTTTTGGGTTGCTCTTTGGGTCAGTCGGTTGGGTTTTGAGTTGGTCAGTTGGGTTTTGAGTTGGTCAGCTGGGTTTTGAGTTGGTCAGCTGGGTTTTGGTAGATTTCTGTGTTGGTGTTTTTTTGGGCCAGTTGGTTTTGGGTTGATTTTCAGGTCAATGGATTGGGGTTTGGGTGTTTTTTTGGATCAAAGGGCTGATTTTAAAGTTGATTTTTGGGTCAGTTGGGTTTGGGTAGATTTCTGTGTTGGTGGTTTTTGGGCCAGTTGGTTTTGGGTTGATTTTCAGATCAATGGATTGGGGTTTGGGTGTGTTTTTGGATCAATGGGCCGATTTTAAAGTTGATTTTTGGGTCAATTTTGGATTCCGTGGATCCGTTTTGGGGCCGGTCTCCGGGCGGGCGGGTTCTGGCCGTACCTGGTGTGGGTTCCAGTCGCTGTCGAAGATGATGACGGTGTCAGCTGACTGCAGGTTGAGCCCCAGCCCCCCGGCCCGCGTGCTCAGCAGGAAGATGAAATACTCGGAGCCTGGCTCATTGAATGTCTTCAGCAACATTCCCCGGTCCTCTGCCTTCGTGGTCCCTGGAATCCCACACGGGCGTCACTCCCGCCCCCGGCACCGGAGCCAGGGGTGCTGGGGGTCCAGAGAGCGGCTCCATTGGGAACAGGGAGCCCTTTCCCCCTGGGAGGGGGGTCCTGTGTAAGGCTGGGCTGATTTTGGTAGAAAGATTGGAAAAAGGAGGGAAAAAGGGGCAGATCCTGCTCCGAGGTGGGGAGGGAGGTGTCCCAAAAGTTGGGATTGCAGCAGCCGGAATTACGGCAGCGTTGAGGACATTTTGGGGCCGTTCTCAGGGATATGTGGGGGCCGTGGGTCACATCTGTGCTCCTAACCCGTGTTCATTTCCAAATCACGGAACGGTTTGTGCTGGAAGGGACCATAAAGCTCAACCCGTTCTGACTCAACCCTGCAATCCAAACAATTAATCCAGATTTGTTTTAGTCACACGGGAGTCCCCAGGGCCCTCTCCCAACCCCACAAGATCCCAGGATTAATCAGGAGATCAGCTGGAATAAATGGGAAAAACAGCAGACAATGAGGACATGATGCCATGATATCCAACTTTGACATCTTGATATCCATCTTGACATCAATCTTCTATAATTTGATATCAATCTTTGACAGATTGATATAATCTTCAATATCTTGATATCAAAACTTAAAAAGTATTGATATCAATCTCTGATATCTTGAATCAGTCTTGATAGAAACCCTGATCTTGGTATCTTTAATGCTGATCTTGATACAAACCTTGATCTTTCTACTGGTATCTCAGTATCAATGTCTCGATGTATATACTGCAATCTGGATATCAAGATATTGATCTTGATATCTTGATATCAATCTTGATATCAATGTCTCGATGACTTTGATGTTTGTATAAATACTGATATAAATCTTGCTATCTCAATCTTGATATTGATCTTGCAATTTGGATATCAAGATATTGATATTTGAAATCTTGATGCCAATCTTGATACAAATCTTGATATCAATCTCACTATTGATGTCTCAATATCAATGCCTCAATATTGATCTTGAAATCTGGATATCAAGACATCAATCTTTATATTTACTGATATCTTATCTCACTTTCTCCCTTGATACTGACACATTGAAATTTATCTCAGTATCTTCAAGTCTATTTTGATATCTTTACAGCTTTACTTAGAGGTTTATTTTCATATCTTGATGGTTTTGTATTTTTCTATCTTGATATTCCTCAACATCTTCCTGTCCAGCACAATATCTTCATTTCTTTCCATCTTGGTATCTTTCTTGATGTCTTGACCTTGAGCTCCACCTTGACCAGGGCACCCACTGTCCCCCCACGCCCTGGGGGCACCACTGACCCCCACCCAGGGGCACCACTGACCCCCACACCCCCCAGGGGCACCACTGACCCCCACACCCCCCCAGGGGCACTCACCATCCAGCCTGAGGTATTTGAAGCCGCGGTAAGCAAAATAGTCCTCCATGATGGTCATCAGGGAGGTCATCTGGCAGAAGAGCAGCACCTTGTGGTTGGTGGCCCGGAGCTTGGGCAGGATCCGGTCCAGGAGCTCAAATTTCCCGGAGGCACGGTATAAATCCAGCCTGGGACAGACAAAAACCAGCACAATGAGAGGACTGCCAGGATTTGAGGCTGAGAATGTGGTTTCTCCCCCTCGCTGGGATCCTCGGGCTGCCTGGAGGGAAGGTGGCTCATCCTGCACCCCTAGAAACCATTTGAGTTTGCAAATTCACAAATTTCTTCACTGGTAATTTCAAAATTCGTGACTCACCCCTGCACGATCCCGCCCGTGAACCCCAAGTGCTCCGAGAAGGATTCCTGAAATCGAGAGGAGAAACAGTGTCAGAAACCAGCACAAACTGTCTGGAGCTGCCTAAAAGAGCCAAGCCCTGCTCCCTCTCCAATTCCCTCATGGAATGGATTGGTTTGGATGGAAAACAGAGTGTTGGGAGTGGGTGGGCCCGATGACCTGATCTGGTTCATCCTTCTTGGGTTTAGCTCTGTTTTGGTTTATCCCCATTAGGGTTATCCCTGGTTTTGGTTTACCCCAGTTTTGTTGGGTTTATCCCTCTTTTTGATTCATCCCTGGCTTTCCTGGGTTGAACCTGTGGGGTTTATGGCTGTTTAGGTTCATCCCCCTGGGTTTATCCCCGTTTCTGCACGTCTGCCTGACCTCGATGTGCTGGAACATGTAGGGGTGGTTGCAGATCTTGCGCAGCTGCATGATCGTGTTCATCAGCGTCTTCGTGCCGCCCTTCCCCTGCCAGGAACAATCCAGGAGGTTAAAAACCCAGATTAATGCTGGGTTCCATCTCTTTTTGCCAGTCCAGCATTCCCAGGAATGTTTGGGAACATCCACTGGGAGTTCACAGTCCTGACAGTGGGGCTCAGAGACGCTAAAATAAATTAAAGGTTTTAAGAAACCTCCAAGTCCCCTTGAGGTGAGGCTGCTCCTACCCAGCCGTTTTGTGGGAATGGAGCTGGAAAACAGGGAATCTCCCACCTCTAGCTTTTAGCTGGGATCAAAGTGTCTTTTTCCAATTATTTTGTGTTTTTAATCTCCTCACAGACTTGTTGATGGCTTTGAGGAACCTCCATGCATCACCCAAATACGTTGGGGGCCCAAGCTCAACCCACCCTGCAGTGGAGACAAACCCACCCATGCTCAGCATTCCCAGCACCCATTCCCAAATCCAGACCTTCTTGTCTTTCTCGGAGCCGTCGGTGAGGAGGACACCCTTGGCCTGCATGTGCCGGTACAGGACCCGCTGCAGCGCTGACATGTCGCACTTGATCACATACTCGACCTGCCAGGACCCAACGGGGAGTCACACCCAGCCCCTCTGGGAAACCAACAGTTCCCAGAGGGATCAAACCCAACTGCCTGCTCAACCCAACCCAGCAATGACTGTGGAGTGCGGTGAAACTCCGCCTGCACCTTCCAGGATGGGGAAGAGCAGCATGGACATCCCCTAAGTGTAGTCCAGAATGGGGAAGATTGGGATGGACCCCAAAATCTCACTCTAAGAACTCATCAAACCCCCGGTTCCCAGAAGGATCAACCCAAACACCTGTTCAACCCAAGCCAGCAATGGTTCTGGAGTGGGATGAAGCTCCATGGGCATATCCCAGGATGGGGAGAGGCAAGGTGTCACCTTTTCTGGCAGCTGAGCTTCCACCTCCTTCTTGAGGCGCCGGAGCAGGAAGGGCCGGAGCACCTTGTGCAGGCGGCGGATGATGAGGATCGTCTCCTCCTCGTTCAGGTCCACCTGGCCAGGGAAGGGAATTGTCACCAGGAACAGGAATTGTCATCAGAAATGGAACTGGATGGACCCCCAACATCCCAAAACACCAGGTCCCCTCGCTCCAAGAACCCCCCGACCCTCAATTCCTAGCGGGATCAATAGAACTGCCTGCTCGACTCGAGAGTTTGGAGTGGGATGAAGCTCCATGGGAGTATCCTGGGATGGGGAGGGCAGGGAATTGTCACCAGGGAAAGGAACTGTCACCCAGAGAAGGGAACAGAGCCCTCAATGGTGACACTGAGCCACCTCCCACAGCTCCAGGGAGACTCCCAACCCCTCAGGAGCCATTAACAGTGAGCCCCATCTGACAGCTCCGGAGTCAATTCCATCCCCTCTGCAGCTGTGAATGGTGACACCACATCCCACAGCTCCAGAGCCACTTCCAGCTTCTCCAGATCCATTAAAGACACTGATCCACGTCCCAGAACTCCAGAGATACTTCCAACCCCTCCCTATCCATTAACATCGACCCCAATCCCGTCCCTGCTGCCAGCAGCCCCCACCCACTCCCGCATTCTCCCTTTCCCGCACCTTCTCCCCGGTCATGGCAAACGGCGCGTTGAACCACTGCTCGAAGGTGCTGCAGCTCTTGAAGATGGTCGGGAGCAGGAAGTTGAGGAGCGCCCAGAGCTCCGGGAGCTTGTTCTGGAGCGGGGTCCCAGTGAGGAGCAGCCGCCGTGGGGCCACGTAGTGGGTGTTGAGCACCTGCGTCAGTTTGCAGTGGTGGTTCTTCATCCGGTGCCCCTCGTCCACGATCATGTACTTCCAGCGGATCTGTGGGAGCAGGAAGGGCAGGGATGCAGGGAACTAGGGGGTGTGGATGTGCCCGGAGCAGCTTGCGGTGGCTCCACGACGCTGGAGCAGCTCAAGGAGGCTCTGAGAGAGGAACACGCCAGGAGGGTCCCCCCACACCAGGAGGGAAACCAGGGGATCCCTGCCAGGATGGCTGATCCCAGCTCCACTGAGGAGGAGGAGGCCCTACTTCCTCAATCTCAAACACTGGGATTTGGAGCATTATCCGAGTCCTGTTCCATTGGCACAATGCTCCATCCCACTTATCCTTCCTCCGTGGCCATGGATCTGAACCCCTTGGCAACAATGGTCTTGTAGGGATCCAACTAATATTAATTATCCAAGGAATTTTTCATGAAAAGGGAACCACGTTATCTGATGGATCATGGGATATGTTGCCAAAAATCAGGAGCAGGAGCAGGAATTCCACCTCAGCTTTGGCTGCCAAGGGGGAGCAGCTCCTGCAGAGGCTCCAAGGAATAAAATACCAGGTTTTGGCATAAACAAGGCAGGGATTTTCCTGTTTGCAGCATCCGTGTGCAGGTGAGATTGGGAAAACCTCCAGGTCCAGTGCTTCCCAGCCTCACCTTGGCCAGGATGTGCTTGTCCTTGATGATGTACTCGTATGTTGTGAGCAGGACGTTGAATTTTCCACTCCGGAGCTGCGGGACGAAGGCGCGTCGTGCCGCCGGAGAGCCCTGTAGGGAGAATTCCAACCAGTAACGTCAGGCGAGGAGGGAATTCCCAGAAGAGGGGGTAGGAGGGGCTGTTATCCACAGGGAACAGAAAAGTGAGGAGGTTTGGGGCTTCCTGCTGCGGAGGAACAATCAAAAACAGGATTTCATGGAGCTGGGACCCAGTGCAGCTTCCTCAGCATAACGGTAACAGAGCGGGAAGAGGAAAATGGAATCCGAGGAGCGCGGCACTTACCTTGTAGGAGACCTTGACCACGGAAGGAGCCCATTTGTCGAACTCATAGGCCCAGTTGGACAAAGTCCTGGGGGACATGGAAAGGGTGGGAAAGTGGGAATGTGGGGCTGGAGTGTGGCAGCTGGGTGGGATTTTCCAGGCGCTCCGGTACTCACGAGAGCGGGACGATGATGAGGAAGGGGCCGTTGATCCGCTTATGCTCCATGAGGTACGTGATGAGGGCGATGGTCTGGATGGTTTTCCCCAGTCCCATCTCGTCCGCCAGGATTCCATTGAGGTTGTTGTTGTACAGGGACACGAGCCACTCCAGGCCTTTGATCTGTGGGAATGCAGACGGGGGTGGGAATGGGGGTGGGAGAGCCCCCTGCCTGGGTACATGCAAATGAGCTGGTAATGAGGTTGGGTTAATTATTCAGAGCCAATTGAAGGAATTGGGATATTGCATGGATTCACACAGAACGCGATGGGTTTGGCTCCCAGCAGAGAGGAAATCCAGCTCATTATCCAGCTCTGGCTTCACCTCATTATCCCACTCTGGCTTTGGCTCATTATCCCACACCATTCCATTTATTATCCCACACCACCTCAGACTCATTATCCCTCTCCAGCCCTGGCTCCTTATCCTACAGTCATCATCCTACCACAGGTCCTCGTCCCACACCGCTTCCAGCTTATCCTATTATCCCACCCCTGGACCACCAGAGTCTCCGTTACCTCCCCCGGCACTCCCACCTCTCCGAGGGTCCCACACCTGGTACTGCTTGAGGACGCCGTTGACCATCAGGGCCGACTGCTTGTCCACGCGCTCAGTCACGGCGTGAGCCACGGCGTAGTAGGACTGCAGCCCCCGCGCCAGCGCCTGCGACACCCCGTACTCGTCATCCACGTCCTGCTTGGCGTTCCTGCCCGGAAAATCGGGATAACGTGTCGTGGCACACCAGGGAACGGGGTCGGAGCGGGGATGAAGAGGGGGAAATGGGGTGGGGGGGGAGTGTGGGGGGAATAATTGAGGCGAGCAGGGGAAATGGGGGGAAAACTGGGATAATGGGTGAGGGGAGGGGCTTGGAGAAAAATATGGGATAGATAGGGGAAGAGCGGGAAACTTGGGGGATAATCAGGAATACTGGAAGAGAGGGTGATAATGAGATGGAAAGACATGGATGAGAGGGAGGATCCCTGCTCCTCACTGGCAGAAATGGGAAAATAAAGGAGGAAAAAGGGAAACGATTTGCATTTCTGGGGTGGAAAAAGGGAGGTTTGAAGGATGATGCTGTTGGGGGAATTCCTGGGAAACACAGTCAGTCCTGTGTGAGGTGGTTTTCCTACTTAATTTCCAGATAAAATGCCATGTTATGGCTTGTTCTGGGAAGACTTGGAAAAAAAAATGGGCTTGGGGGAAGGCTGCTTGTGGAACCCTGCTCCTGGGGTAGGGAAGTGACTGGGAATGGGAATGTGGAGCAGGAAAACGGGAAGAGAGAGGGAAGGGCTCACTCAATGATGTGTCGGGCATCCACTTCCGAGACATCGTCACTGTCTGGATCTGGAATCTTCTTCTTCTCCTCCACGGGCAGTGCTGGCTGTGCTGGCTGTGGCTGCTCCTCTTCCTCCTCCTGCAGGGGTCCCAGGAATTTCAGGGAAAACTGCCTCAGGAACATCCTGGGGAAGCACCCACACCCTCCCACCCAAAGCTCCCAGAGATGGGAGGCTCCCACAGAATCCTGCCATTCCCTTCGGAAACATGCCAGGAATATTCAGGATGAAAACTGGGGTCTCTGAAAGGGAATTTCCAAGTGTTCCCAGCTGCCCAGCACTTGTTTAACACAGAGATTCCACTTTATCCCACTATTTTATTAAATTTTTATATCTCAGTTTATCCCATTTTTTAATACTTTTTTCCCATTTTTTATTCTATTCCAATTAATTTTACCCTATTGTTTGGTCCCATTTTACGCTATAGCTTTATTCCATGTTTATACTATTCTGTCTCATTTTAATCCATGTTATCCTTCCTGTTTTGTTCCATTTTATCCCATTTCTTCTGAGCTGCCAAACAGCCATTGCCAAGGTCAGCTCTTTCCTGTTCCTCCCAGAACACTCCCAGTGGGAACGTTGCAGGACCACCCTCACCTCCTCCTCCTCCTCGGAGCCGCTCTCCTCGCTGTCGGAGCGTGGAGCCACCTCGTACCTGGGGGGAAAATAGGGGAACAGGGAATTCCAAATGGAACTTGACTCTGGTGTTCCCAGCTCCCTGTTCCCTCCCGGCTCTGACATTCCCAGACTCCGATTTCCTCCTGGGTGCAGCACTCCTAGCTCTCCACTGCCATTCCCAGTCCTCCACTCCATTCCCGACTCCAGCATCCCCAGCTTCCTACTCCCATTCCCAACCCCAGCACTCCCAGCTCTGCTATTCCCAGTTGCAGCATTCCCAGTGCCCCATTCCCGGTATTCCCAGCATACCCGGGGTTCATTTCCAGCCAGGCCTCCAGCTGCCCGGCCTTGGGTGCATCGGTGCCGGTGAGGATCTTCCCACTCTCCACGTGGATCACCTTCACCGGGAGGTCGCTCATCTGGCTCGTCTCATCCAGTGGCTGTGGGAGGAACCAATGGATCGGGATTGGGAATTCTCAGCCCCAAACCCCCTTGAATCCACTGGGAAAAGGGAGGATCCTGATGGACCCAGTGGGACTTGGCCTGTGCCCCCTGCCCGTGGTGGGCTGGAGTGGAATGGTCTGTGGCCCCTTCCCAGCCATCCCAGGATCCATGGATTGAGGCTGGACTCACCTCCCCATCGGGGCCGATGGCTGGAGCCTGTCCCTCGGCGTTCTCCGCCTTCTGTGGGAGCAACAGGGCAGGAGGAGAAGGAAAAGGAAGGAGAGGAAGGAGAGGAGGTGTAGAGAAGAGAAGGAAGAGAAAGAAGAGAAAGAAGAAAAGGATAGGAAGGGGAACAAAAAAGGGAAGGAGATGAAGGATGGGAAGGGAGAAAAGGAGAGGAGAAAAGGAAAGCGAAGAGAAAGAGAGTGAAGAGAAGAAGGGAAGGAAAGAAAGAGAGAAGAGGAGGAGGCAGAAGGAGAGGGGAGTCAGCCTGTGCAGTCCAGCCCTGGTGCTCCCTCCATGAGCCATTCCCAGTGCCATTCCTAGAGTTTCTTCTCTCTCTCACCTTCTTCTTTTTCTTCTTCTTCTTCTCCTTGGCCACCTGGGCTGCCTTGTGCTGCCGCACAAGCTCTGTTAGGTTGGCCACGTACTCATCTGTCTGCTGCAGCAAGTAGGCCAGGCGCTTGTCCTTCTTCTGGTCGATGAGCTTCCGGTAGCCCTCCTCATCCTCTGCCTGCCCGGGGTGAACAACACACTTGGGATCACCTGGAAGCAGCTGGGATCACCCTGACCTCATCCCACACACCCCTCGGTGCCCCTCCTCACCCTCAGTGAGGACAAAGATCCCACTGCATCCCCCTGATCCTGCCCCTCCTGTCTCTTGGCTGCTTTTTCCCGGTATCCCACATCTGGCTCACCATGAGCCGGCGCATCCGCTCCTTCTCGATGCGCTCGTTCTCCTTCTTCTGCTCGCGCTCGGTGTTGGCGTGGTACGTGGCCACCGCCTTGGTCAGCTTCTGGATCTTCCCACTCACGCTCCGGTGGTATTCCTTGAAGTCCTTGGCATGCTGCAGGATGCTGTTGAGGTATTCCTGTGGGAACAGAACACACGTTGTCAGATTGCGGGGCTCGGTGTGCGGGGATTGCGTGGGAAGCTGGAATGGCGGAGTTGGGAGGGATTGGTGGTGGTTGGGAGAGAGCAAAGGGAACTGGAGAGTCTCAGCAGTCAGCAAAGGGTCCCATTGGCCATCGCAGAGTTCCACTGGCCACTGAGTGGTCCCAACAGCCATCACCAAACTCTTGGCCGCCATCCTCCAGAGTCAACCTTCCCAAACCAGGTGATCCCCTTAACCCTCCATCCCTGTCACCCTCCTTGCCCCGATTCCCAGGGATCCCCCAACCTGGTGCTTCTGCCGGCGCTTCCGCTCCTGCTCGATCTTCTGCTGCTTCTCCAGCTTCTCCGTGATGCGGGCCTCACGCAGCGACTGCCGCTTGCTGCGCTTGTAGGCCTTGGCATTGAGCGCCGTCTCCAGCGCCGTGTCCCGCCGCATGCACACCACCACCTCCTGCCGCAGCTGCAACCCCGGCAAAACCGTGTGTGATCATACCCGGGGTGACCCTGCACCGTTCCTGCTCCCAAATCCTGCTGTTCCCAGTGCTCACCTGGCGCTGGAAGTTGAGCAGCCGCAGAGCCTTGAGCTCGATGGTTGCTTTGGTCCGCAGGTCTCCGGCCAAGGAGCCGGGAAGGTTTTCCAGCTCTTGGATGCGGTGGGCGATGCGGGCTTGGAGCCTGCGGAGGAGGGGGAGGAATTTCGGGACGAGTTCAGCTCATTCCCAACCTAGTTCCCATTGGGAAGAGCATGGGAGCAGGGCAAGGGAATTGGGAAGTTGCTTCCAGAATCCTGGGATGAGTTTTGGGGGCCCCCATAGGAACAAGGACACAGCAAGGCCAGAGCACGGCCAGGGAAGGGCAATAGAGCTGGGAAGGGTCAGGAGGAATTTCCAAGGAAAACGTTCTCCTGCTCATCCTTCTGGATCTTGAGAAGAGGAAAAATGGGATTGAGGCAGTTAGAGATGGGAGAAACCTTGGGAATTTCCAAGGAAAACCCATTCCCACTCACCCCTCTGGACCTGTGGACACTGGAAAATGGGAAAACAGCATGGGGGGAAGTTGGGGCTGGGAGAAGTCTTGGGAATTCCAAGGAAAACGTCCTCTTGCTCATCCAGAGGGATCTCAGGAAAAAGGAACATGGGATGCAGGCAGCTGGGACTGGGAGGATCCCTGGGAACAGGAATCCAGGTGGGGCCATACCTGTACTCCCGCTCCTGCAGGATCTCGACGGGGTCGAGGCCGCGGGGTTTCTGGATGGGGGTGATCCGGTTCTGTTTGGGATGGATCGGGAGCGCAGGCGGCGCCGGCTGCCCCGGCGAGGGCGGGGGGGGCCCGGGGGACGCTGGGGGCACAGCCGGGGGCACGGGGGAGGGACGGCCTGCAGGGGGTGGCGGCAGCAGCTTCTGGGGGGCCCCGCCCGGAGCCGCCGCCGACAGCGGCCCTGTGGGAACAGGGAGTGTGGGAACAGCAGCCTGGGCACAGGCGCAGCTTCCCGGGAGATGTGGATCTCAATTCCCACAAAAAAACCCCAATTATTTGGTCAGAAATGAAGTTAAATTCCCCCAAAATTTGAATATCTCACTTGGAATGAGCTTGTGGACTAACTGTAGAGATTTAATGGGAAATTCATCCCAATTCCCCACAAAACTCTTATTTACCTGGAAATCAACCCCAGATCCTAAAAAAAGTCTAATTATTTGGCTGAAAATTAACCCCTATCCCCTGCAAAAAATTCCAATTATTTGGCTGGAAATCAGCCCCCAATCCCCCCAAACTCCAGTTGTTTATGGGAAAATAAAGCACAATTCCCTAGAAAACTCCAAATTTCTATCTTGGAATGAGTCAGGCATCCCTGCAAAGCTCCAGTATAGAAGTTAAAGCAGCCATTCACAGAACTCCAGCTAATTCCAGGGCTTTAACCAGGATCTTCCTTCCATTCCCATCCCCCAGAGCATCCCTTACACACAGATCTGGGATAAATTCCCAGAAATTTTGTGACCCAGGTCTTACCTTCTGGCCAGGGCTTGGGGGGGCCCCCGGGGGGCTGTCCCGGCATGCCGGGGGGAACTCCTGAGGGTCCGGGAGGGGGCATGTTGGGCCCTCCTATTCCTGGAAATGCCCAAAAAACAGGCAGAAAAGGGAAAAGAAAGAGGGAAATCCCATGAGGATGCTGACTTCAGGGGGTGAGTCCCAGTGGGAAGGCTGGTCTGCTCTGGCTGAAGATGAGGACGTGCAGGTACAGCTCCCTTTCCCCTGAACTGCCAGAGTCTGGATGGACCCAAACTCTCAGCCTCTGGAATGCCCATGGACACAGGAGGGAGAAGAGTGGGAAACCCAGACTGGGGGATACTGGAGCAAACTGGGACCAAATGCTTCCCATGGATCATCCAGGATGGGATGGGATGAGGTCCCTTCCCATGGATCCCCTGGGATAGAGCGGGACAAGCTCATCATGACTATCCCAGGACAATCCTGGATTTCCCAGGATAACATGAGATGGAACGGGATGAGTTTCCCACAGATCCCAGGATGGAACAGGACAGAACCCCTGGATTAATGAATCAATGGGGTTGGTGTGGAGAGGGTTTTCCCATTCTTGAGCTCCCCACAGATCCCTCAGGACGGAACAAGATGAGCTGCCCTTGGATTGCCCAGGACACAACCAGACAGACAATCCCAGCCCCCCGCTGTCCCCCAGCCCCTCCTCACCGTGAGGTCTGGAATACCCGGGCGGCGCTTGCCCCGCTCCGGGCGCTTGTCCCGGGCCCTGTGCGGCGCCGGCGGGCGGAGGTAGAGCAGGAATCTGCGGCTGCATCCCGGGCAGGGGCCGCTTTCCCTGGACGGCGACCTGCAGGTGCTCCGGGAGCGGCTGCCCCCGCGCCAGCAGCTTGTAGGCCATGATCTGGGCGCGGAGCTGGTGCAGCTGCGCCGCGTTGAACGGGGACGGGCCCCGGCCCAGCGCCGGCGAGTCGGAGCCGGAGCCATCCAGCGCCGCTCCAGAGCCGCCCGCGGAGCCGCTGGAGGGGCCATTGGATGGCACTGGGCTGGAGGCGTGCTCCGAGCCACCCAGAGGGGATGGATAACCTGGCAGGGAACACAGGGATGCGCTTGGGAGTGGTGCAAGGGGTTGAATTCCAAACCAAAATGAAGGATTTACAGCTGGAATCTCTGGAGAGCTGTGTCTGCCCTCAAAAATAAGGATTTCCGCCCTCCCCAAACCCCACAGGATTTTATCGTTCCTCCCCCAAAACCCAGCATGTGGACCTGGAAATCCCCTGGAGTGCTACTGGAATTTGGGATTTATGCCCTGGTATCCAGGATTTAAGCCTGGAATGATGAAACCCCCTGCCTCTCCAAATCCAGGATTTGGACACAGTTCCTCCCCTTCCCCCCACTGTGTTTCTTCCCAAGTTCCCAACCTTGGGAATGCTGATCCATGGGGCTGGGTGGGGGGCCCATTCCTGCATGTCCCCCTGGCCGCATTCCCATTCCCTTCATCTGCCCGTAGCGCGGATCCTCCGACATTCCCTTCTCATGCATTGGATCCAGGGGCTGCAGGAGAGAAACATCCCGGGAAATCACGCACTGGCAGAGCATTCCTGCAGGAAATCCTGATGCTCTCAACCTGCCCGGCCCACAGATTTCCCAGGGGTTGGAGCTGGAGCTCCATTTCATTATTGTCAGATTCTACCTGCTCCAGCCGTGAAAATCCTTCCCACAGCACAATTTCCTGGATTTTTTTATTAAAAACCCCCTGGATTCCCCAGGCGAGGAATTGTTGTTAAAGCAAGAAATCCAGGAAGAAAAACCTCTCAATTAATTAGTTAATTAATGGGGCTGGGGTGGGGGATTTTCCCATTCCTGAGGTTTTTCAGTGCATTTTTGGAGCAGAAGAGTCCAGGAGGGATTTGGGGTGGATGGGGGGTGAAATAAGGTGGGAGGAGAGAGAAGAGAGGAATGGGAAGGGGCTGCAGGTGCAGTTCATGGATTTTAACTACATCCTTTAGTTACTCTCCTCTTCCCATCTCCTTCTGATGCTGGAGGAGGAAAATGGAACATTCCAGCAGTGGGAATTTGCAAAGGTGACAAGGTTGGGGGGACACATGAATGGGGATAAATCCCCCACCCAAGGCTGAGGGTTTCTGAGGCCTGGAATGCCGGGATGCCTCACCTTGTGCAGGGGGTGGATGGTGTCCGGGCCGTATCCTGCTGCCGGGAGCGCATGTCCCGAGTGTCCCGAGTGTCCGGATCCGGGCGAAGGGCCGGGAGAGGGGCCCAGCATGGATCCCGGGGAAGGGCCGGGACCAGGAGAGGGGCCAGGCCGGGGGGTCCCTCCCAGCGGAGGCTCTGGAGTCGCCATCTCACATCAGGAGCTGGGAATGGGTGCCTGGAGCCACACCTGGAATGGGGGATCCGGGTTAATTCTGGGAATGAACTGAAAAAGCACCAGGTGAGAAACACTCCTCCCAATCCATGATCGAGGAATGAACAAGAAACCCTCTCCACAGTGCATGCTCAGGCACGAGGAATTCACTTCCCAATTCATCCTTGAGGCGTTTGGAATGGGAAACACGCTTCCAAATCTGTTAGCCAGGAATAAGGAGCTAGGAATCCCCTCCCAAATCCATAATTTGGGAACAAGCAATGGGAATCCTATTCCCAATCCGTCCTCAAAGCAGGAGGGGTGGGAAATCTGCTTCCCAACCCATCATGGAGGGAGGAGGGATAGGAAACCACCTTCTGCAATCCATCACCAAGATCTCAACACCAGATCCATTGCTCCATTCCCAACCCATTGCTGAGAAATGAGAAACACGGAATCAGCTTGCATGTCCATCACCAAGGAATGATGTGGACTGACCGCAGAGATTCCATGAGGAACGAGGAATGGGAGTGCCCCATCCTGATCCATCCGAGAGGGCTGCACAAGATCTGGGAATTCCTGGTAATTCAGAAGGGCCATGAAGGGTCACGATGCTGATCCCAATCTGGGGTTAGCTGGAATTGGTTTGCTGGGAAACTGCAGCCATCCTCCAGTCCCAAAGAGGGAGAGATTTCACCCAAAACCACTGGAATTCTTATGGGAGATGCTCCCTTTCCAGGAAAATCCCTTCTCTTTCCAGGGAAAAAACTCCTTTTCCAGAAAAAATCCCTTTTCCTGGGCATACCCCTCATTTTCTGTGCAAATCCCTCCTTACCCAAAAACAAGTTCCTCCCTTTTCCAGGCAAAACTCAGAGTAGGTTTTTCTGGAAAAAGCCTCATTTTCCATAAGGAAAAAAAAACAACAACAAAAAAAACTTTTCAAAGCAAAACACTAATTTTCCAGGCCGAGCCCCTTGAGCACTCCAGAGCAGCACTGAATCCATGGATTTAATCATTCCAGGGTCTGTGGGTCAGGAAAAGTTCACACAGACTTCCGTATTTCTGTTCATTTCCTGGAAAACCTGGATTTCAACACCGGGCCAACAATTCCCAGGACATGAAGCGGGGGGGAAATTCCTAAAATCCATCAGGAAACTTCCTTGGTGGCACCTGGAAGCTCCTTCATCCATCAAAATTTGTTTTCCAGGGATGCTGCTGCTCCCAGAGCAGCTTCCCAAGGATCCATGTGCATCCCTGGCTTCCCCCAGAAACCTCTTTGGCTTAAAATTCTTAGATTCAAAGGAATGAAAGTTTAACAGCCACGGAATTCTAGGACTGGGGGATTGCTGCCTGAAGAATCACCATTCCGAGGGTTCTGACACTCCCAGGAACGACGAGAAATGGGATAAAACATGCACCCAGGGATAGTTTTCCCTGATTTTCCCCATTTGGGTTGTTCTGGCACTGTTAAAAATTCAGATTTCCCAGCGCCTGCTTCCCCCTACACGGAGGAATTTATCCCAATTTAAGTCATTCCAGCCCTTGGGAATCTCCCACCTCCCATGGACAGAGCCGTTCCTGTCCCCTCTTCCGATGAGGAAACAGGGATTGACAAAGTGGTTTTCCAGGAAAGAGAGGGATTAATTCCTGCTTGATCTGACCGTTCATCCCAGCATGGCTTTCCCAGGAAAACCACCGCCATTCCAGGGATACCAGGGAATGAATTTTTAATTAAGCTCCATTCCTGCTCTTCTCCAGTCCTGGTATCACCATTCCCTCCCAACCATGGGAATTTTATGCCTAATTCCAAGGAAACCTGTCATTTCCAAGGACAGTATTCCCATGAGATGTCACTTCACAGATGCTGGGGAGGGAGAAATTTCAGCACCTACCTACGGGCATGGTAGTCTTCCTATGCCTCTGGAGGGATGAGCTCCTAACGCCAGGCTAGGGGGGAAAGCGGAAATTAGTTGGGAATTAAGTCAGGAATGTCATTATCCAGCAGCACCGGAGCATTAATGGAGCACAAGACTCCTAAAAAATGGCGATTTCCTCACGGATGAACCCAATTCAGTGTTATGTTTGGGGAATTTGTCGACTTCCAGCGAGGAAACACTCCAAAATCCATTAAAAAAATTGCTCTTAATAATTCCTGGAGGCAGTGGATTCCACCTGCTCCAGCCACAAAAATCATTCCCACAGCACAATTTGAATTTTCCTGGATTGTTTTATTAAAACCCCCCTGGATTACAGGTGAGGAACTGTCATTAAATCCTGAAATCCAGGGGAAAAAACCCTGGATTAATGAATCGATGGGGTTGGTGTGGAGAGGGTTTTCCCATTCCTGAGCTTTTTCAGCCCATTTTTGGAGCGGGAGAGTCTGGGAGGGATTTGGGGGGGGGGGGGGGGGTTTGGGGGGGGGGGGGTGGAAAATAAGTCGGGAAGGGGGAGAGGAAATGGGAATGGGCTGCAGATGCAGCTTTAATTTAAATTAAATCCCTTGCTTATCCTCCTGTTCCCATCTTCTTCCACCTCCGGAGCAGGAAAACGGGTAATTCCAGCAGTGGGAATTCACGGAGGTGAAAAGGAGGCGGGGCTGAAACGGGGATAAATGGATCGGGATAAATCCCTCCCCTTCCAAAATCGGGGGGCCTGCTGCGACCTGATACCCCCTCCCCAGACCTGCCCTGGACTCCTGCAGGAAGGGGCTAAATTCCCAGCGGGAAATTCGGGAATTCATCCGAGCGGCCTCGGAAATCGCGTCACCCTCCCCTCAAAGATGGGAGAAAACCGGGTAATTTGTGTCAGGGGGGAGATGGGAAAGGATGGGGGAAAACGGAGTCGGGAAAGTGGAGGTGAAAAAATGGGGATTCCCAAAAGCAGCGCGGGGGGGCCGTGACCCCACA